TTGAATAATTTTGGTCACAACTGTATATATATAAACATAAACCGTTCGTAATACGTGACCAAATAAGTGACCAATTCATAAAGTGAATTAATTACAGTATGTCCAAAAGATATAAATAAATACCTCAAGTGATTTAAATAATAACTCCAAGTTATGTTGTTACATGAAAAACATTCCATAAAGTGATAATATATAATTATAAAATCCTGTATAAAGTGAACGTGCTAAAGTGCCAATAAAAAAGTGTACAAAAATCATATATTTCAATTCTTGAATATTCTTAAAACACTCAGTCCATCAAGTGATAACCGAATCATGCGCTGTGTAGTGATAAAAAAATAGTGATTTGTGCCAAACTCCTCTCCTACAGGTGGCTAAATTGCCTCCTCACCTCCTCCCGGTGACCACTAAGGGCCAGCAGGCTTGCAGGATCACCCTGGATCCTTATTCCACAAAAAGACCAGCAGCTTTTCTCCTTTTTTTATGAGACTCCTGTTTCTCTCACTCCACCAGGATATTCCTGAAGGACAATGACTCACCAGTACAGCGAGTCAAAAAAGAGAATGCCCTCTAAGTGCAGTAATTAATGACTCCTTTATTTTCAAACAAAGTATAGAGTGACAACACTCACATTTTCTGTCAGTCCACCCTCCTCACCGATGTGTGGGTGTACTCCATGTGCATGGGACTTCCTAGGTGTAGCAAGATGGCGTCTTACGCCGGAAATACGTCACCGCGCACCGGAAACTGTGGACTCGCGAGTCCGCAGTTTCCGGTGCGCGGTGACGTATTTCCGGCGTAAGACGCCATCTTGCTACACCTAGGAAGTCCCATGCACATGGAGTACACCCACACATCGGTGAGGAGGGTGGACTGACAGAAAATGTGAGTGTTGTCACTCTATACTTTGTTTGAAAATAAAGGAGTCATTAATTACTGCACTTAGAGGGCATTCTCTTTTTTGACTCACTGTACTGGTGAGTCATTGTCCTTCAGGAATATCCTGGTGGAGTGAGAGAAACAGGAGTCTCATAAAAAAAGAAGGAGAAAAGCTGCTGGTCTTTTGTGGAATAAGGATCCAGGGTGATCCTGCAAGCCTGCTGGCCCTTAGTGGTCACCGGGAGGAGGTGAGGAGGCAATTTAGCCACCTGTAGGAGAGGAGTTTGGCACAAATCACTATTTTTTATCACTACACATCGCATGATTCGGTTATCACTTGATGGACTGAGTGTTTTAAGAATATTCAAGAATTGAAATATATGTTTTTGTACACTTTATTGGCACTTTAGCACGTTGTTCACTTTATACAGGATATAATTATATATGATCACTTTATGGAATGTTTTTCATGTAACATAACTTGGAGTTATTATTTAAATCACTTGAGGTATTTATTTATATCTTTTGGACATACTGTAATTAATTCACTTTATGAATTGGTCACTTATTTATTTGGTCACGTATTACTAACGGTTATGTTTTATATATATATATATATTTTTATATAGCTATTTTTAGAGCGCCACACTATTTATTTAACCATGCTAGGGTGACTATGTAAAAAAAACAAAACAAAAAAAAAACCCCCAAATATAAAAAAAATGTAAAATGTTTAAAAATTATAATTTTTGGTTATAAACTAATTTGTTTTTTTTACTAAAAAGATAACCGAACACATTTTGGCTAAGATTTATGATGAAATATTTGCAAAATTTTATAAGAAACACTTTTCAACATTTTTGGACTTTCATTTATATAGCAAAGCTTTTTGGTCTCAAAAAAATGCTAAAAAATTCAGTGTTGCATGACCGCGCATTTGTCATTCAAAGTGTGATAGCGCTGAAAGCTGAAAAATTGGCCTGGACAGGAAGGGGGTAAAAGTGTACGGACTTGAAGTGGTTAACAGGGGTGTGTAGACTTTTTATAGACACTGGTTTACTTTTAAATTCTAAAAACTACATACAAAGGAATGAGTAGAGAAGAGGCTGTAAAGCATATAGGGAATCAAGGAAGTTGTTGAATGGGTAACGGGCACTATCACAACATTTTTTCAACTAAGCTTACAGTCATGGTCAAAAATATTGACACCCTTGAATTTCTGACAGATAATGCACCACTTTGCCTAAACATTTGTAATTGCAACCATTTTCTGGGCATTCTCATGTTAATGTATTTTGTTTGTATTGGTATGACACAAAGAAGTAGAGAAACAAAAAGCCAAATCGACACATTCCACGCAAAAAAAAAAAAAAAAAAAAAAAAAAAAAAAAAAAAATGGATTCAACAAAATTATTGGCACCTTCTCAAAACTGTAAGAAATAAGTGCATTTCATGTTTGTGATGCTCCTATATTTGTAATTAAAGTCACCTGTATCAATTAACAGGTGCTGACAATATAGAAAGCAGCCCAGCAACCAGTTAAAATTGTGAAAAATGTACTCAACCTTTTTGTTGTGTGTCTGTGTGTCACATGGAGCATGCAGAAGAGAAAAAGAGCAGCAACAATTTTCTGAGGATTTGAAAACAAAAATTGCGGAAAAAGCATGGACAATCTCAAGGTTACAAATCCATCTCCAGAGATCTTAATGTTCCTGTGTCCACTGTGTGCAACATTGTCAAGAAGTTTAAAGCCCATGTCACTGTAGCTAATCTCCCTGGACGTGAACGAAAGAGAAAAATTGATCGATTGAAATGAAGGATTGATCGAATAGTGGACAAAAAAGCTCAATCAACTTCCAATTTCAAGCTGACCTTCAGGCACAGGGTACAATTGTGTGAGCTTGCAGTATATGTCGTCATCTGTATGAAAAGGGACGCTATGCTAGGAGACCAAGGACTCCATTGCTGACACAAACATAAAAACGCCAGTTTGGAGTCTGCTAAAACTTACCTGAGGAAGCCAAAATCCTTTTGGGAGAATGTGCTGTGGACAGACGAAACAAAATTGCAGCTTTTTGGTAAACCCCAACATTCTCCTGCTTTTAGAAAAAGCAATAAGGCCTTTAAAAGAAAAAGAGTACAGTCCCTACAGTCAAATATAATGGAGGTTCACTGATGTTTTAGGGTTGCTTTGCAAGTAGGGCCCCCGCCCCCCCCCCCCCCATCAGAGGCCATGGGTCTTACAGCAGGACAAAAAGCACATGTCAAAAAGCACCCAGAAATGGTTTCAGACCAAGTGCTGGAGAGCAGGAAATACTTTATTTACTGTGTTTTTCTGCCTCCTTGTATTGTCCTTTGTAAGTTCCCAAACCTCTTTTCCTGATCACTTTCATTTGTTTGGAATGGAGTAGTACACAATAGTTGTAGTCATGTACACTGCTCTATACACACTAAAAATTCTATATTCCACAGTCATTAGTCCATATCGTAGCTACTCTTTAACAGAAAATCAGATCACACAGCAACAAAAAAAAAAAAAAAAGAAAATTGGAGGAGGCTGAGAACAACCAAATATACTTTTGAGTTAAGAATAAAAAAAAAAAAAAAAAAAAAAAAAAAAAGATTCTGTTCAAGTATGTAACGATTAGAGGCCAGGGTTTGGCATCACTTTAAGCAGTAAGGCCAAAAGTTTTAAAAATTTACTTTTTAGACTTAATCTTGAAAAATTGCAGAGCACCTCTCCTAGAGTCTCATTGCTAAATATTTGAAGTGTGTCATTTGTGGCACTGTGGTTTCTGACTACTAGGAGACTGAGTGAGTCTTTGATTGATTAAGATTGTACTGGAGGACCTAAAATAAAAATGATATTCTTGCTTCTATCAAATAAAAAAAAAAAAAAAAAAATATATATATATATTTTTTTTTTGGCATATTGTTAACAGTGTCCCTGATCACTGGCACATCAGTTATATGACTGTACTGCATTGGTGACAGTATGTAAAATAAAATTGTGCAAAAATTAAACAAAATTTTTGGAAGAAAGCATTTCCAAAATTTAATAGAAATGAAGGAAAAACGTGTTTTTTTTAAATTAAAAATTGTGGTTTTTTTTTTATTTAGCAAAAATAAAAAATACAGTAGAGATTAAACACGTTTGTGAAATATTTAAGTAAAAAAAATGATAAAAATTTCATATGGGTTCAGTGCTGCATGACCGCTCAATTGTCATTTAAAGTGTGACAGGACTGAAAGCTTGGGCAGGAAGGAGGTAAAAGTGGCCTGTATTGAAGCGGGTAAATACTCCTTGCAATAGTAACCTAGAAATAAATACCATTCAAAAGGCATAAGTTGAACAAAATAACATTTTACACAGGCCGATACTCTTTAATGCAAGGTATTTTGTCAACCTTTGTAATCTCCTCCAGTCATTATGCACTGCTTCATAGTATCTGGTCAATTATTCTGTGTCTAATTGTGGTATTAGGCACACATTCTGAAAGTCCCCCATCCCCTCCTAAAAAATGAAATACACGTTTCAGTAATGTTTCAATTATGCACTTTATTTTTAGTGGAATAAACTATTGTTTTAGTTAAAGAACATCTTCACATTTGATGCAAACATGAAAGATCAGTTACAAAAGTCTGTGGCACAGCAGCAACCGTTTCACCATTAGAGGGCACGAGCACAAATTGCTTTGCAAGATGTCTCTGGCCCAATGTGAAAGAAAGTAAACAACTCAAAAATAAAACAAAAACAAGATTTTGCAGCTTCTGTAAAGCTCTTAACTGCATTGCAGTTGAGAAAGATAAAACAAAAACAAAACCAAAACAAAACAAAAATGCTGTGCCACAAAAACAGGCAAGCTGAACACAAGTTAGAGCACATTGCATGACAATATCTTTTGTTGCAATTTTTTCAGGTACTATTAAGCATCAGTTTAAAATACTCAACTAATGCCATAAACTAAACATAGCTTATAAATAGTCTAGTCTCTTATAAAACTAATACAGATCAGACTTTTTTTTTTTTTTTATTACTGTGTGCAGATGTATGGATACACTTTTGTTTTCTTAGATATAGGTTACAAGGAAAACAAGCAACTGGAATTGTCATTGAAATTTTATCTAGTCCCTGCTGCATTGTGAATTGATGGAGGGCTGTCATGGTCAGACAGGAAGGAAGTGGCTGCAGTTTCAGGAAGAACAGATGTGAGGACATGACGGCACACAGGACATGTTCCAGACTGGAAAGAAGAGAAATAAAATTTCAGGATAAGGAACAAATTTTGTTTATGCATGATTTTATTATTTAAAAAAGCAAGTAAAAGTCAAAGTATGCTGTATTAAAAAGGCCATGTTCAGCTTTCTTAAAAAAATAAAATATATATATATATATATATATATATATATATATATATATATATATATATATATAATTAAATATATAAATAATAAATATATATTTTTTTTTTTACTAAATGCACATATTTTTCCCGGAAAAATATTGCAGGTCAATACAGGCTATTGCAGACACTTGGTTTGATTTATTAAAAGCCAACACTGAAATCTCTGCAAGTGCAGATACACTCATTTTCCCAGCTTAGGGAATGTAGTGAAGCTTAACCAAGCTAAGGAATACCTAATTGCTTGGCTCGGCTCCTCCCCATTTGAGGAAACACCTCCACCTACAATAAAAAAGCTCCACTCCCCTCTGACCTCAGTTCTCCAAGCATCCTCCGGTCACCTGGGGAGACACAATGTGAGACAACATAATCATAATAAGCCATCTTCACATAACCAATATCAACAGTGGGTGGGAAACCGGTGCTGGCCTGAAAGACTCCTGGAAAAGACGTTACCGTAAGTGTAACTTGATTTTTCCCCTACCGTCTTTCAGGCCAGCACTCTGAGAGGATAAGCGAGTACTCACCCCTCGGGCGGGGCTAACTGCTTGCAAGACCTTACGACCAAAGTCCTGCTCCTGCACCGAGACCAGGTCCAGTCTGTAATGCTTGGCAAATGTGTCATAGCTGGACCATGTTGCCGCTCTGCAAATCTGCCCTGGGGAAACCCCTGCTAGCTCTGCCTGGGTAGCCGCCACCGCTCGGGTGGAATGTGCCTCGATACCCTCCGGGACCTCTAGGCCCTCCGCCTGATATGCTCCTGCAATCGCCAGCCGCAGTCAGCTGGCCAGCGTCCTTCTAGACGCCTTCTTGCCTCTTCTAGCCCCCTTAAAAAAAAAAACAAAAGGGATTCGGTGCTTCTGAACTCCCTAGATTTCTCAAGATACTGGAGAACGCACCTTCTTACATCCAAACAATGATACCTCTCCTGATCTACCCCCACCGGGTCAGGAAAAAACGAGGGAAGGACAATGTCCTGTTCCCTCTGGAAACTCCGAGCTACCTTCGGAATGAAGGACGGGTCCGGTCTGAAAACGATTCTGTCCGAAAAAATACGGAGATAAGGTGTTCTGATCGAGAGAGCCTCCATCTCGCACACCCTCCTTGCCGTGGGTAATCGCCACCAGAAAAGCCGTTTTAATGGTGAGCTCACTTATCGGGCAGGACTTCAGGGGCTCGAACGGAGCCCTAGTCATCCCCCCGAGCACCTTGGCCAAATCCCACACCGGAAACGGTCTGGACCTCGGAGGCCTCTGCCTCACCAGAGCTTTGAAAAACCTACTCACCAACGCCTCCCTGGCCAGGGGCGTCTCTAGGAACACACGGAGGGCCGAGACCTGGCCCTTGAGCGAAGCTGACAGACAATCCCTTGTCCGCTCCCGCCTGCAGGAATTCCAACACGGAAACCAAACTATGGGTTGCCACTGCCGTCCGGTCACACCAGGCTGTAAAGCAACCCCAGACCCTACCATAAATGGCCTGGGTCTCCTCCTTCCTACTGGCCAGTAATGTCGCCACTACCTTAGGCGAGAACCCCTTCTCTAAGAGGAGCTGCTGCTCAGAAACCAGGCCGTTAACCGTAATCTTCCCACGCTGGGGCAAAAACCGGCCCCTGTGTTAACAAATCCTCTCTTGGTGGCAGCTCCCAGGGTGGACGAGAGGCCAAACTTTTTAGGGTCGCAAACTACGCCCGCCGCGGCCAGAAGGGAGCTATCAGGATTAACGAGGTCCCCTCTGTCCTGAATTTCCTCAGGAAGGGCATCTCCGCTTGGGCTCTTGGTGCCTAAGTTTAGCTCGGGCCTTGCCCTGAAAGACACAAAAGAAAGGGGGGAGGAGGGAAGCCTAATCAGTCCAACACTAAACACCCCCCCCCCCCCGCTCCATCCTGGCAGAGCAAAAAAGGGGCCTGCAAATCCGCAGACCCCTTGCCCCACCTTCCCACTGCTAGGGGCCAACAGGTAGGGGAGGCCTCCACTGAGGCACCTTACCTGTGACTGGCTGGTGCTGGCATCTCCTGGTCCCGGTGCCTCCGACATCCCGTACCGGAGGGTGGTCGCCTGGCGCTGGTCTGTCCCCCAGACCGCTGTGCACCGCACCGCCTTTTTAAATTTCGCGCCGCCGTGGTGTGAGGGCTGCGACCGGAAGCAGAAGTCGCAGCCCTGGGCGAAGCCCCGCCCCTTCCGCCGGAAACCGTCGTCGTCCGGCCCGGCAAACTCCTCAGACCGCCAGCATGGGAAGGAGCGGAACTCCCCCCGATCCTCCCCAGATCTCACCACGGCCACCCCGACGCCCCCCCTCGTCGGAGAGGGTCGGGGGGCAAAGAGCAGGCAAGTGCTTTGTCCCTTCCCCCGGGATGCACTCTCACTGCCCGCAGCCTGCCCAGGGAGGATATGCAGCCGGACACTCCGGCCTTCACTCCCGGCTGCGCCGGGCCTCTCAGCCGGCTATCCAGCCCTCGGCTCCCCTATCGTCTGCCCTGCCCCTCCTCGTGTCTCCCCACCGGAGGAAACACCTGAACTGAGGTCAGAGGGGAGTGGAGCTTTTTTATTGTAGGTGGAGGTGTTTCCTCAGATGGGGAGGAGCCGAGGTCTCTCAGAGTGCTGGCCTGAAAGACGTAGGGGAAAAAATTCCTTGTATATAATTGGATGATGGAAATCAGTAGAAATTCACCACATTCATTAAGCTCTGGGAAAATTAGGGCAACCACACTAACAAAGAGCACAGTCTATTTGCCTTTATTAAACAAACCCCACTGCCTCCAGTTTTCTTGCTTGTGCAGGTTTATGGTTTGCAAGTTGCAGCAAGCATCAAGGAACTATGAGGGTGCTCATCAGTGCCCGTGCAGTCAATTGAGAACTGGTAGCCATCTGCTGTAGATTCCTGTGAATGAATGATGCAGGTAGGCTGAGCCCCACACAGCGGTGCCGATTTTGAAATCTGACAGCGGTGGCGAGGAAGAACTGCGCACCTACTATCATAAGGAAAGGGGGTTCGGAGGAGAGGGGGGGTTCTGACTGAACATGTTACACCCCAAATAAGGATGTAATACATAACATGTTTAAAAGGTGAACCTATCCGTAAAAAGGTTAATTTTTTTTTTTTTCCCCCATCAGTGCCATAATGCAGACTCCTGACTTGGATGTGGCTCCAGTATGGATACAAAAGCCATTCCAGGACAAGTTTCAATAAATTAAAAACAAAAAACAAAACAAAACAAAAAGCTGCATGACATTGATATTTTTGTGGCTAAACACACACGTAAGTTTTTTTTATAATTTGAATGCTCTTTAGGAAGCTCTGCTCTTTTTGCTGCATGCAGTATGAATAAGCATATACCTACATTTTTAAGCTGCAAACTGGAAATGGAAGATTAGACATAAACCTGGATTATCTTGATTCGCAAATATCAAAAGGTGAATTTATAAAAAGGTCACATATTTTATTTTAAGTGAAGGAATACAGTAAGAAGAGGCAAGTCATCTTGACCTGACCTCATGCTTAAAGTACGTCTGTCAAAAGAAAAAAAAAAAAAAAAAAAAAATAGTACGCCTCTAACTTTGGCCTCTCTTGAAAACGCTAGTTGCTTACCAACCATGCTGATGTGCGATTTGAGTGACAGACCTAGGAAAAAGATCTGGCATGCCAACACTTTTCTGACACTTGTGTGCTATATGCATATTGCAGGTATGTGACTCAAAGTATAAAAACCAGAGACAGCCAGGCAATTAAGTAATTTAGTGACAAGGCCAGAAATTGCAGCCTAAACACAAGATCTCTCATTCTTTCACTCTACACAAGCTGAACTAAATGGTGTCATCTACTCGGCTGTGCAAATCTAAGGACCTGAAGGATAGAAATACAACTCCTTCAGCAGTTACAAGGCAAGTGACATCTCCTTTATATGTATTTCTGTATATTTAACTGGTTGCCTGGAGTTCAGCTTTAAAATAAAAGGATACATAAAAAAATATTTACAAAATATAGGTATTGTATTTTTTACATATTCTAGAGCATGTATATTGGTAATGAATTAGTGGACTACTTTAATTAGTTGACTACATTGGTGTGTACTGCAGAATGAGACTGCAAGGCAGGGTCTGTTAGGCTGGTTTTTAGTGAATAGCAGCCAGTCTGGCAAAGACCACACTCTTCAGTCTTTCCAGCATCCACTTCTTCAAAAGAACTCACATTCCCTGGAGCTTTTGATTATAACATGTAAAGTCACACAGGGCATGAACCATGCAAACAGTTATGGGCAGCAAGCTGTAGGACTGCTTTTGTGCACACATGGACATAAAATGTTTAAGGATATGACACAGGAGTTGTAATACCATACTCAAATGAAAGACACTTACTTTTTGTAACCAAAGTGTAACACAAGGCTTATGGAAGATGTGGTGGCAAGGAAGCTCTGTTAATATTTCATCTTTAATATACTCACTACAGCATATGGCACAGCATTGCTCTTGGCCTACAACTAAAGCAAACGAAAAAGTTAGGGCACGGCACATCCACGACAGGACTATAAAACATCCAGCTCTCTTCTAAACAGAGTGGAAGCATTTGGTAGTGTACAGAAGTATCTTGGAATAATGGATCTAACAAAAGTGCAGCACAGGCAGGAGATTTCTAGGAAGATCAACAGGTATTTTCTTTTGTACTTATCAAACAAATACAAAATACTATCAATTATAAATTTAACAGCCCAAAAGGGAGCAAATAAAAAACATTATGAGGGTTACATTTTAACAATATATTGTGGGGGGCACATTAGGTAGATCACCTTTATTTAAAACAACAGCATGTACAGTTGCTTGAGTGTTGATAGAAACCAACCCTATTGCTACTGGTGTCTAAGAATTCAGCTACATAGAGGTCATCCGGCCTACATGGCCTGCCTAACCCAAAAGGAACAATTTTAACCAGTTGCCCGCCGCCCTATAGCAGGAATACTGCTACAAGGCTGCAAAACACACACACAATTTGCATTTCCGGTTAGGAGGCGCGAGCCACCCTACATGTGCCCCCATGGCGGCTACGGATGTCAATCACAGGGTCCCACCCGCAGATTCTCTGCTGGCAGCTGGCGATTGCTGAGCAACACTGACAGGCGAGAGACCCATGTGTAAACAGAGGTCTCTCTTCTGCCAGCAGTAACATGCTGCTGTGTATTTCTCTGCAGCATGTTACACACAGCAGCATGTGTCTCAAGTAAAAACACACACAGCACACAGTTAACCCTTTGATCACCTCATATTAACCCCTTCCTGCCCAATGTCAGTGCTTTTTATTAGCACTGATCACTGTATTAGTGTCACTGGGCATGTCAGTGGCAGTTAGTCAGTTCCGCCCAGTATCAGAATACCCACCGCAGTTCCACTATAAGTCGCTGATATTGCTAGTATAAATACCAGTGTGTGTGTGTGTGTGTGTGTGTGTGTGTGTGTGTGTGTGTGTGTGTGTGTGTGTATATATATATATACACATACACACACACACACACACACACACACACACACACACAAATATACATACATAGCAATTTGTAGACGCTATAACTTTCACATAAAAGCAATTAATTTACATATATTTGCTAAAAAAAAAATAAAAAAAAATACAAAGACATGAAGCAGAATACATTTTGGCCTAAATGTATAAAGAGTTAAAGAATCAGATTTATTTTTTTTCTGGATATATCAAAAAGTAAAAAATATTTTTTCACATTTGTAATTTTTTTTTGTTTATAGCGCAAAAATAAAAAAAATGCACAGGTGATCAAAATACCACCAAAAAAAAAAAAATCTCCATTTGTGGGAAAAAAGGACATAAATGTCAATTTGGTTGCAGCATTGCATGACCACGCAATTGTCAGTTAATGCAACGCAGTGCCGTACTGCAAAAAATGGCCTGATCAGGAAGGGGGGATAAATCCTCTGAAGGGCAAGTGGTTAAATACAATAGCTTACTTATATGGTCATCTGTAAGAATGATCTGAGGAAGACAGTCGATGCTTTCTTTGGTAGCTGGAGGGTGAGCCTGTTCCACATCTACAGCCAATGATTCCAAATGAGCCAAAGCAGTCTGTTTAAAAAGCAAAAAAAAGATTCACAAAGCAATTAAAACAATTACCACTTGATAAAGTCAATAAGTATCACTTTCTACATCCAGTGCATGGAATGAAAAGGTCCCCGATTAACCCCTTGCCGCTGACCGTACACATACTGTATATATGGCGTCATTGAAGTGGGTCGCACATATGCGTATGTGTGATTGTGCTGGGATCAAATGTAAATAAAAAAAAAAAAAAAAAAAAACTCCCCCCCCCCCCCCCCCCCCCCAAAAAAAAAACGATTTAGGTTTGTATCAGGGTTACAGTTGGGGTCAATGTCAAGGTCACTGATCAGTCAGTGTATTTTAGGTAGGATTAAAAAAAAAAAAAAAAAAAAAAAAAAAAAAAAAAAAAAAAAAAAATTTTTTTTTTTAAATTAGTATCCGTATCTGTGTTTTAAATCGGATAAAAAAAAAGCAAAATGCACAACATTGTTTCTGGGTCCTAGTATGGGTTCAAATACCACACACATGGTATCACTGCAATTGTCAAGAGCAAGTTAATTTATATTGGGTTGTTCTTTAGTGGTAGGTTATGGTAATAAGAAATATAAAACAGTGTTAAAAAGTGAATGGTACTATCTTGAGCCAGTGGGCTGCCAGCAAAATAGAATTGCAGGTGTGACAAGGGTCTTAAATCACACACACACACACACACACACACACACACACACACACACACACACACACACGGGGACAGCAAAGACCAGGTCAACACACAAAGACAAGAGGGTCCACCATCCCCACACACAGGTAACAGATACACATTCACCTCCCTGAACAGCCATGCCCGGACCTGCGCACTGCACCACCTACCTGTAAGGCACAAGCCCACCATGTGCACCTCATTTGCAGACCCCACACTCTTCAAGCCCCCCCATGATGTTGTACCCTTACCTTAGACAGTGACCCATAGACAGGGCACTCCTGGCCTGCTGACAGCACACTGCAGCTTCTTATGTGGTACACATAATCCAGCCTGAGAAACACTCGCTAATACTCTTTTTGCATTCCTCTTGTATTATATTAATATATAGAGCCCATGCTACTGAACTATTTATATAAAATTATCAGAACCATGTCAGGATATCTATGCATATCTCAAATCAATTTGTAATGAATGGACCACAAAAAGGAAAAAAAAAAAAAAAAAAAAAAAAACCCACACAAAAAAAAGCACCTACCTCCATTGCCTGTGCAAGACGCTCTTCAAGAGCCATATATGTAAGAAGGTGAGGATCCATGAACGACATAGCTTGTGCTACACCAATACCTTCGCCAAAGTCATCTAGCAATCTATTTGATCAAAAAAAAAAAAAAAAAAAAAAAAAAAAAAAAGTCAACAAGATGTGCTGGAGAGGTTGCAAATGAAAAATTGTACAGGCTTGTGAGATTCGATCATGAGTTCTAGACGTTCCATGGAGAATCTCCCTGTGGGATGTTTCATTGACCTTAATTCTCTAGTGTGAACTCTGAAAGCAAGACTTTTCTTCCCTGGAACTAAAGTCTTTGATTGAGATGGGTCACGGACAACAGCCAGGTATTCCAGGTGAAAAGAAAGCTGGAAAGCAGATTTTTGATGATTAATTACCAAACCAAAAGCCTGGAGCATCTGAATTGTCCTGTGGATGTTTGCAGATAGCTGGAAGGGAGATGATACCTTCAGGAGAAGGTCATCCAGAGAACTTGTGACTTGGATACCTTAAAAAGGTATTGTAATCCCTTACATATACCCAGTGAAGTGACTGGCCACAGGTGATACACAAAGATTAAACAAATCCTCCTGCATACAGTAGGTTGTACCTGTTTATCTGCAGTCTTCTCTACAGCCATTCAAAGTGCTGAATTTATAAAGCTTGTCTGAGAGTTTAGAAATAAAAGGGGGCAGGAAGCTGAAACTACACTCTGCAGAGCTCATTGAGGAGAGCTCCGAAAGCTAATTAGAGGGAAGGGACACACTGCCCTCCACATAGCTCAGGAACAGAGCTGAGGATGTCAATCTACTGGAGGCCCCTCCCCTGTCACCACTTTTCTCTTGGTGTCATGAAAACAGAGGAACAAAAAAGCAGGGGAGCGAAGCAGCAGAAAGAAAATGACACTTAGTGCTCTGGACTGAGACAGGTTCCGACCACTTTTAATTCTTTTTCCACTGGACAGAATGGGCAATCTATGATGATTGGATCACTCCAGAAAATATTTTCACGTCTCCAAAAATCTTTAAAAAAAAAAAAAAAAAAAAAGGGAGTCTCTATTAATGCAATAAATATGGTTGCATTAAAACAGACGCCTTTGGACAGCAGCACTGTCAGTCTTCAAGAAGGGGGAGAGTTGCATACACTAGGATATTTAAGTACACTAACAAATTGAGGCCAAACTCCAGCTAACACTTTTATAGGCAGTTACAACAGTTGATAATTGTATGCACCCTTCAGTGTTAAATGGTTTGTCTCAACCCTCTAACTGCTATATCTGCAGGACTGTTAGTTTTGTTGAACAACTAACAGACTTACTAGCAGGATCGCTTGGTGAAAAAATAAATGCCTAAAAAAAGAAAAAGAAAAACAAAAAACAAAAAAAAAAAAAAAAAAAAAAATCTAACAAATGGTAAACCCAAAAGCAAATATTTTATTATAATCCAGCTAACTACAGTTTTAAAATTGTGTCCTGCTCTGATGCAAGGTAACCCTTGTCTCTGAGGTTCAGTGTTACACGGGTCTTTGGCAAAGTGAATATCTGACTGACTTTTGTGGCTCCCTTTTGCTTGGTTTCCACCATAGCTACAAATTAGGTAATTCCGCTGAGGGACACTCATGGAGTAGGGTGCAGAGGGAGTACGCAGCAACTCGTGTTTAGACCATCCCAAGAGGGCTGGAGGAAGTGCCTGAATATATATCGCATAAGGGCCACAAGGGCCTCTTCCCCACAACCCTGGGCTGTGGGGGTCTGCTTGCAGTGGGGCTTATCAGAATCTGGATTCCCCCTTTAAAAAGGGACCCCCCACAGATTGGGTAGTCATTTACAAATGACTTTAAAAAAGTCCCCCAAAGTAGATCCAACGTCAGTCCCAAACGCCAGCCGCTGACCTAAAAAAAAAAAAAAAAAAAAAAAAAAAAAAAAAAGAAGGAGAGAAAGAAAGTGGTCCACACCCGATGCTGGCTCCTGTACTCTGACAGCTCCACCGCTAAATAAACTAAGGGGCGAGGCCACCCCGTATATTGGTGGTGGGGGGGGGGGGGGGGGGGGGGCTTGCTCGTCTGCCCCTTTCCTGGCCTACCAGGCTGCATGCTTGGATAAGAGTCTAGTATGGATCCTCCATGCTATTTTCTTTTTACATTTTGGCATGAGGTTCCCCATAAAATCCATACCAGACTCGCTTAAGGGCAGCGTTTGCTTGCATGGCTGTTCCAGACAGACACCAAATTCAGGTACTTGCCAAGAAAAAAAAAAATCATGATGTATTAATGATTACAAGATTACAGAGCTGCATTAACATAGGTTTTATATCTGCCTGGAGGTCAGCTTTAAAAAAAACTTATTTTTATGAAGAGACTGAAGATAATACCAACCAATTCATTCGAGTTCGAAGTCCAATGGTTTTGGCCATACTATTTTCAGTCCCCTCTGAAAAAAACAATATTAGCTATACCTCAAATTGTGCATGTTTGTTAAAACTTCTAGACTGTTATGATAAATATTTTTGTAAACAGAAGTAACAACCTAACCTATCAGAGATACTACTCTGGGTGAACACGTCAGTATGGCATGTTCTTTGGACACACAACAAACAAGCATTGTAATTTTTCACAAATTTGACAAAACAGTCATAACATCTGCAAGTCTTACAGATACACATAGCATGCATGTCGTAAACAGGAACAATCCTGCCGAGACTGAAAAGGAAGACCTCCTAAAAACAGTAAACAGTATTTTTCTTACTAGATTGGTAGCTGACAACAACAAGATAGTTTGCTGAATTACAACATATTAAGCAGGCTGTGCAATTGATCTAATCTAAACACTGGATCAGCACTTAAATCCCAAAAGTATAACTTGAGGCATTGCTGTTGTGTGGAGGAGTCCACTGCATAGGCAACGATACATTTATCGATTAGGTTTTCCTTGATTTAGGAGAATGGAAAACAAAAAGAGAATTTAGCCATGTGGATGAATGTAAAAATTAAAAGATATAGGCTGACGATTAACAGAAGCCTCTTGATTTTAAAGTGACTGTAAACCCTCAACTTGCAAAACAACCCATTCCATTTAAAAGAGAACACACACACACACACACACACACACACACACACTTTTTTTATCACATACCCACTGTTCTCAGCAGCACAAGAGCTAGGGGAGGAGGAGAAGCAGCAGCATACTGATCTTCCCAGTAAAAAGCAATACAGTGAATAGGATAGTATTTCATACAAGTACATGGCACAGCAGGTACATATCAGAAATATGAAAGGTTGGGTTTACATACTCTTTAACCCACATCTGGACACACTTCTGCTGACAGAGGAATAGGGCATAGGCTGACAGCTTAGATACCACTATTATTATACAATATTTATATAGAGCCAACAGTTTGCGCAGAGCTTTACAACTTGAGGGCAGACAGAACAGTTACAATATAATTCAATACAGGAGGAATCATTAGCTCATTAGAGCTTACAATCTAAAAAAGGGGAGAGTCAAGCGATACAAAAAAAAAGGTAAAAAAAAACTGGAGGATGAGCCGATGGAGAAGATACAGTTAGGTGTATATCACACACACACGCACAATTTTAGTTTTTTTCAGATATTTACCAAAGCAAAGTCAAGCTGTAGTTATATAATGGATATGAGCTGAAAGGGTTTAGGAATTATAGCTCTTAAGAGTAGCCATCCCCAAGGGATCAAAAGTAATTGGCCAATTGAATTAAAAGCTGTTTCATGGCCAGGTGTAGGCTACTCCTTCGTTATGTCTTCATCAATTAAGCAGGTAAAAGGTCTGGAGTGGATTTTAAGCATGGTATTTTCATTTGGAATCTACTGCTGTGAACCTACATCATGCGTTCATATGAGCTGTCCATGCAAGTGAAACAGGCCATTGTAAGGCTTCAAAAATGAAACAAACCCATCAGAGAGATATCAGCAACATTAGGAGTGGCCAAATTAACATTTTGGTACATTCTGAGGAAAGAAGAATGCACTGGTGAGCACAGCAATATAAAAAGGTATGGACGCCCATGGAAAACAACAGTGATGATCGCAGAATCCGCTCTATGGTAAAGAAAAACTCATTCACAACATCCAGACAAGTGAAGGACACTATCCAGGAGGTGGGTGTATCATTGTCAGTCTACAAACAAGAGAAGACTTCACGAGAGCAAATACAGAGGGTTTACCACAAGGTGCAAACCATTCAAAAGCCTGAAAAATAAAAATTCAGATTAGACTTTGCGCTTTTCTAGAACTGGTCCGGCTTTTTTAGGCATTCTTTGGATGCATGAAACTAAAATTAATCCGTATCAGAATAACAGGAAGAAAAAAAAAAAAAAGTGTGGCGAAGGCTTGGAAAAGCTCATGATCCAAAGCACACAACGTCATCTGTAAAACATGGTGGAGACAGTGTGATGGCATAGGCATGCTTGGCTTCAAGTGGCACTGGGTCATTGGTGTGTATTGATGATGTGACAGAAGACAGAAGCACCTGGATGAATTCTGCAGTGTTTAGAAATATACTGTCAGCCCAGATTCAGCCAAATGCAGCAAAGTTGATTGGATGGCACTTCATAGTGGACAATGATCCAAAACACACTGAAAAAGCAACCCAGGAGCTTTTGAAGGAAAAGAAGTGGAATATTCTGCAATGGCCAAGTCAATCACCTGATCTCAACCCAACTGATCATACATTTCACTTGCTGAAGGCAAAACTAATAAAAAAGGTAGAAAGACCCACAAAGAACTGAAGACAGCTGCAGGCCTGGCAAAGCATCAGAAAGGAGGAAACCCTGTCTTTTAGTAATGTCCATGGGTTCCAGACTTCCGGCAGTCATTGTCAGTAAAGGATTCTCAACAAAATATTAAATATAATCATAAATAAAAAATCTCTGTAGACTGGAGATTTCTTCATGATTTGTATCTTATTTCTGAAGTGATTGGCAATCTCCTGGGCAGTGAGTGAGTTAGTGGGTGGAGGCAATGGAGGATGAAGTAGAGCGTTAAAAAGGTAGAGAAGGGTTGATGGGGACTGGATGAGATGGTGTTAATGAGAGTGATAAAATAGTTCTGCTTGGCAGTGTGAAGGCAAGAAT